CCTGGTCCCAAGTCCCGGGCCTCTTTTACCATTAACCTATCCGATACCCGCTCCGTTCCGTCAACCTGACGTCATCGTGATCCTTGATCATTCTTCGTATACACCGCTTGAAACAACCTGTACATTGAGGCTATACAAATCCAGCAATACTCCCTTGTTTAAAACTGCATTAAGTGCTTTAATCAAATCAAGACAGTATCTTGAGTCATCTTTTGGAACGACATTTGATTACTCCTTTCTTAATTTGTGTTGAGTCTTTACTCACACCAAATCATTTCATACGAATCATTTAAAAAAATTTATTAGCCGTCATTGACCATGATCTGTCTCGTCGATCATGATAGCCAATGCGTTAATTTGACTATGCCAATATACAGCAATTAAGCTTGTCTATCAAATACAATAGAAAATCGGATCGCGCTCCAATGCGTCGTTTATTCGATGTCACCATAATTAACGGTCACCAAAGGAGTCGTCCGCCTGGTTACCAGGAATGATCGAACGGGTAATCATCTCGGTTGATGGATGGGTCTGATTTTGACGTTTACAGGCTGTCAAACGAATGAAATCGACGTCAGAGTTCCGCTCGCTAGCATTATCATTTGTTATTCCAGACTACAGGCTTTCCCTGTTATTACGGTTGAACCTGTGTACGTAAACGCCGTGGACGATTTCGACCATCGATACACATTTCCTAATGTCGATACACTGGAATATCGTTGGCGGTCATAGCAAACGATAACCGTTAGACAGATCTAGTTAACGTTTTGCTATCAGAGCCTGACTTGACCGGCGCGTTTATTAAGCGGTTTAATTTGCAAGCGAGGCGCCACGAGCTCGGATATTAATGACACGTGGAAAATTGCACGGTACGCCGACTCGGCCGGCTAACCGGCGGCGACTCGCGCGACTTGGAAAACAAACGCATACCGCTTCGGCAGTAACGCCACGCAGTTCCTAAAGTACGGTCATGTCCATCACTTAATGAAGAAGAATACGAACATACGGAGAAAAGACTAATCTCCCGTGAACCTTTCGTTCAACCGTCGAACGATGATTGAGCGAGAGAATCCGGTTGACCCGACGAACCTGCGAACCGGTAGACCCATTAGCCGTCACATACGTATGTACGTATGTATTATACATATAAATATAATGCCATTCTTATATTCAGATGAAGCGTCTTAGACTTAGGCATTCAGTCTCTGGTGTCCTACTTTGATTTCAGGTAAAAGTTCATTCCTCGTTGAGTTATCCTCAGTTTCTTAATTTTTAGTTGACTTCAAAGAATCGCGCGATATTCGATGAACCAATTTGTTGACGAATCAGCCGATATTCGTTGAAAAAGGCGGCACCTCGCAAGGTGTTCGGTTAAAAACCGAATCGTAGCGGATTTCCGTGGAGATCAGGCGGTACATCGAAAGAGAGAGAGAGTTCGTTAGCGTCCGGGACTGTTGAATATCATGGCTTTTTAGCCTGCAGGTGTCATTAGGCCGCGGATGGACGGACACTGATTGGTCTCGGCCGATCGCCTTCGGGGACGCCGGCTCATCAGCTGTCCCATTCGCGCAGACAACGACCAAACCGACGTTCCTCTTCCCTTACGTCCGTAGCTAGTTTCATGTCCTCCTCCGATCTTCTGTTCCGTTCTCTCCTTTCATCTTGTTCGACATTTTTCGCGGTATTCCGTGAGAGAACAAGGAAATTTACTGCTCAATCCAGCTGTCAAGTACATCAGTATGTTTTTGAAACATTCATAAACGTCTGATTCATATAGAATCCATCAATTTAAACCTTGTTTAAGGATCAGTCTTTCCGAATGCAGCCTGGATGGCGGTTGTGGATCGAAATTAATTTCTTATTAATATTTACATTGTTTCCGATTAATTGTATAGGAGTTCCTTAACGAATTTCAGTTCGTTTACTTAAATCTATCAAGGAGGCATCATGTTCGGTCCGCGAGAGTTCTCGTTAGCGTGGCTAGTTTCGCCCTGAAAAGAGAGTCCTCCTCCCGTGTAAATGAAACTCGTTGGCGAGAACGGGAGATCAAAGACCCCGACAAGTTGGGAAGGAGGGTTTCCCCAGGAGGAAGGAGCAGTCGGTCTACGGGGAATCTAAAAAACGGCAGGGAGAGAAAAAGAGGAGCCAAGAAAACGACAACGAACGATGCGATGGCGGGAGGCAGAATGAAGAAAGAAGAAGTCGAAGAAGAAGAGGAGAAAAATAAGTTCGATGGAGGAAGGAAAGATTTAGGCTTACAACGAGCGGATATCGTATTAACGAGGCTCGTGGTGATGGGCCTGGGGAACCTAGATTCACACCAGCCTAATTACATCGTGGACCAAGGGAAACTCGTTTCTCGCGTGCCGAACGGATCGCGTCAAAATTATGGATCCGCGGCTGATTGACACGCGACTGGCCGCGGGTTAACCGAGTCAACGAGCGAACGAGTCCGAATTACGTGGGCGTGTCAATGCTAAAATGACCTTCCTCTCCCCAGAACCAATTCTCTTCGCAACGAGCATTATTCAAAGCGATATTTTTGTACTGCTGTTCAACTGGACTTTAATTATATTATTTCAAAATCGGAATTATTATTGCGCATCTACGAATCCGTATTTATATTTCATCTCAGAAATAATTGACTATTTTTAACTTCGATTATAAGAGAAAAACACTAGAAAGAACGGTAGCTCTTCTTCGAGGACTAATTTATTACCAGTCAAATAAATCAGATGCACCTACGAAGGAGTAGCAAAAAGAAGGAGACAAGGTAATGCTTCAAGATCACAGGTATCGCACGCGAGTGGATGCTATTTATAATTTCAAGACGGTGGGCGAATAAAACAGGGGCGTTCGCGTGACGCGATTAATTACGTTCAAGGATTGTTTGCTCTTCTTATCGTCGTCCGTACGATAACGCGCCGATATCCTATCCAGATTCGTTTTTATGCATTCCACCGGCGAATGTCATTCTTGCTCCAGCCATACCCGAGGACAATTATTTTAAAAATTACGTCGATGTACCCGGTCGGATATCGTTCTGAGTTATTGGTGTATCGGCTATATCGAGAAAATTGGCGGTGGTCATCATCGCCATTATGAATTCTTTATTTGGATGTTGCGGTGTCTGAATTACAGGGCGGTCTCAGCTACCTTGCTTACTGCTTCATATACAGACTCGTCGATACCAGCGACAGCTACAAACCCACGCACCGTTCAAACCAATGATTCATTTTCGAATGAAATCACAACATTTACGAGTAAATGTTTGTAACTCAAATTCAGAAGAACATTTCTCATCTTGGCATTTGTTTCTTTATTAAATTACTTGAATGAATGTTAAGAAATGAATTTAGAAAGAAAAAGTTCTATTAAAATGAGACTGAAATTAATCTGTCTCTAGTCCCTTAATTTATGAGAAACGTACTTCAGAACGCAAATATAATAGGAGAAAATAAGGGTATAATTCACGTATGTAAAAATTTGATCGCCAATTTAATCTGACACGATAATACACTGCAATTGAAGCCATTTGTAAAATATATGTGTCTCTGATCAAATTTCCTCCAACAGATAAAATATAATATGACCATCTAAAATACGAAAATTCTAAGATAAATATTTTTATATTTATGTTCTCGCCAATGAGTTTTCCTTCTTATACATACATATCCTTTTTTGCTTCACCGCGAAAGTATAGAGTCGCGAGTCGCAGCGTATGTCGTATCGTCGTTATACACGAGGCGGACCGTGAAACGTGTAATCAGCATGTACATGCTCATCGCGAGTAATCACGCCTCTAATAGACATCCTAGATTCAGACTCGATTAATCGATCAACGACGGCGGTAACGACGCATGTTTTATATCGAGATAATGACGACAGGCTAATGACGGGCTCATTAACGAGACTCGATATAAAATGGTTCCGTTTAACATCAGATATTCCGCTAACAGGAAGTAGGTCGGCATAATACGTGTACGCGCTCGCCGGATATCTTCCCGTACATCTTCCCCGGTCGGCCAGACGGAGAGGCGCGAAGAGAAAAGAACAGTTGCCTGTGTACGGATTATACAACTATTTAGAAACATGATTAGAACTAGACTTCGTTATAAAACTCGATCATTTGTCAACAATTAAGCGTTTTGCGAATGATTAATTAATGCCTTCGACCAATTATATTAGCTAGAAGTTTAGCGAATATGATCTATGCAAATTTTGCTGTCTAAATAAAACTAAGCTCGGTTATGACGAAAACCAGAGCTTAAGCCTCAACACATTACATGTTTTGAACCGCGAAACGACTTTATCTTAATAAATTATGATTCCTGCGCCATAAACCTTGCTACCGACTTCAAAAAGATTCCCGGAAGGAGTGCGCGTATCGTGCCATTTCCGGACACGATAAATGTCGAATGTTTCCTCTCAGAATTTTCTATGCTTTGGTATTTCTTACTTCATTCACGAACTTAACAGAAAATGACATCATGATATGTAGACCTTAGAATCATATCGTAAAAACAAATTTGTAAGGTGCATCGGAAAGTAACTCGACAATAATTACTGTTTCCACATCGCCTGAATGAAATGTTACGTTTACTGCACGTTGTTAAAAGAAGTTGTACCTATGTTTTACACCTAGATAGGAAAGAAAATTACAATCCAAACGACCTAGAAATGTACTACTATTGTAATTTGTTTTGCTCCTTGCGCATAATGTTGCATCGTATATTTGATATTTCTTTAGTATTTCATATATTCTTGCATATTACGTTACCTGCAATTTCCTTGCACGTTTCAATTTCCTACGAATGCCCCCAGTCTGATTATAACCCTTATGATGATTTGCTGAATATTATCTATTTCTCACGCAGCTTACCTTCCCCTTTTCTCTTGTCCCACGGTGGATCGATATTGAAGGAAAGAGAGATCGATGGATCAAGGTGGCACAATTATTCCTCCCATTTATTTTAAATGTTTCCATTTATTTCGACTCACTATACACAGTACTAGAGTTCACGTTCACGCACATACGCACTCATCCGCGTCCCACGTTCACACGCGTTTATCACCTTGTAAACCATCAAGCGCGATACGAATTTATTTATACATGTTACGCGATCGTAAAACTTACTAATTAAATTGATGACCAGGTATATTGCAGTGTCCCATCTATCGTTTATTTGTAAAGTTCGATTTTTGACTCATTATACTGTGCTTTCACATCCCTTCTTCCATTTATTCTAATCATGCTTGCGACGACGACTCTATCTCGTTTTAATGCGTAATATTTAATCGGGGGGTGAACGACGTATATTATATACAACTTATGTACAACACCGAGAACGTGTCTCGTTCATAATTTATACGCTATAACATTTACTTAATAACTTATACTATACATGTACGTAATCGCCCGGCATTTTCTTTAGATCACTTTTGGCTTTTCATATCCTTAACGCTCCTCTTCTTTCCGCAATAAATACAAATATGATACAGGCTGTCTGCAAATGGATCGTAGCAGATTTAATTGTAAACGTTTCCCTTAAAAGGAACCGTGAATTTCGTTCAAACCTTCTGGGTCAGAACACGCGAATTCTTCACTCTCAAATAATTACAAAGATCTTGTTAACTTGATCGATAAAAATTTTTATAAGATAATGAATCGCGAACGAGACAAGCGATTTTAAATATTGGAATATATCGTTCACGTTCGGGGATCAGCTGTGATATATTTGGCAGTCTTTAATTCATATTTTACACTGATCGAAATGTGTCGTTGCCTCGCAAAGATTTATTGTACATAATATCGTGTATCGCCACGATCGTCTCCAATCCTACAGTCTCTCAAATTTTTCCACACATTCCCAGTCCTAATCACTCGTTTTACCCGAAAAGATTACAACAAGGACCGATCTTTATTAACAAATTCCACGCCCTTCCACACTGTATAGTGATAATACGCCCTTAATCGTCATGTGTGTCAGAAAGACCTGTTGTATCTTTGTACTATGCCCTATCCATAAGATTCAGTATACTAACCCAATTTATTTAATTCCACCAGTGCCACTCGTACTCCCGCGTACTAACTGTAAGTGCTACAGAAAAGGAGTCTACGAAAATCCTACTCAAAAGATACCATCGAGTTGGTCTACGTAGGAAAAAGGAGTGTTCGAAGGTAAACTTACACGATTCAATCAAGTTAGCTTCAGTAAAATTCAAGATAAAATGTACGAACAATTGAAGTCGTCATGTCATCTTGAGTGGATGTTCATTTAGTTTCAAATTCGTTGAACTACTTATAGTGTTCAACTAAATTGAACCGCGTAAAATCTCAACTACACCTTCCACCTTTACGCATGTCTTTCGGAGGAAGCGCATTTCCAGAACGTGCTCGCTCTATCATCCTAGATCATCCGATAGACAATTCGTACAAGCTTCTAGTTTCAACAGAATTATGATTTGTTCCTCAACGACGAGCATCGAGGCGTCTCAATCCCTACGACTTCTCGTCCATGCTGTTGGGCAAAGGTCGCTTCTTCAGAATGCCCAGATCCTGGACGTTTTCTAGGAAGGTTTTGTGATGTTGCGCTACCAACAACGGGTTCACCGTCTGCACGTCTTTCTTCAGCTCCTCCATGTCCCTCTTCAGTTTCGCCCGCCTATTTTGGAACCACGTGATCACCTGAGCGTTGCTCAAACCCAACTGAGCCGCGATCTCGTCCCTATCCGCTGGGCTCAAGTACTTCTGGTAGAGAAATCGTTTCTCTAACTCGAATATCTGTTGGTTCGTAAATGCCGTTCGACTCTTCCGTTTCTTCTTCGGTTGCTGCCGGTTGTTAAACAGGTTCAGATGGTTCGCTTGCTCTGAAACAGAATATAACACCTGTTAAAGAAGATTCTTCTAACGGAATGGGTCGTTCCACGTGCTTATCACGGTTAATAGAATCGGCGTTCGGTTGATAAGAAGTTGATGCATGGCGCGAGAGAACTTATTACGGTGTCACGTAACGATTCCCACGTTTCTCGCGAAGAAGGATGATCACAGGAACGTGCGCGTGAGAAAATAAGCTAGAACCAATCGATTACATCCATATATGCTTTTTCTTCCCGGAGATTTTCATCGAATTGGGTGTTAACCATTTGTAACTTTTGTCGTTAGCAACAGCTGCGAATCAGTTTAACGGGAAAGTTATTGTCAATCGAATCTCTGGTAAAATAAGTTCGTTCCTCGGCACACAATTACGTCTATTGCTTAATTATATTAAGCTTCACTTTCTTCTTCCAGCGAACTAAGAAACGCACGAGTTGCCCTAATGCGATCATAAATATAAACTAAAATTCGGGAGATTCCAGTATTAAAATTTCTTAATCTCTAAACGTATGCGAGAGAGTAAGAGAAAGGAGAAATGTAAAACGAATCGGATATCCTCGAGCGCGGTTTAAATGGCCAAGGGCCTAGAAGAAACGAGGGACCCCGTTTGCTTTATAGGATACAGTTTATCCTTTTCTCTAGCACACCAAGATATTCCAGCTACAAGTCAGATGCATTTTCGTGGCGGTGGCAGGGATCTCTGTCCATAAAAATCGTATTACATATTCGTCACGGTGTTCAGAGGATGACGGGATTCCAACGGAGCTTCTTTGCTTGGGATGTCGAAATTTTCGTTGCCCTTAACGGCAGCAACGAGTCAAATTCGAATATCTCGACGAACAAACCTTACACGCAATCAACAATCTCCACCAATTCGATTTAATGCCACTCTTCGTTTCAAGGGTTGATGTGCGAATTAAAAAAACAGATGCACGACAAGTCATGCCACCCGTTCTGACAATGAGACGCCTAAACGCGTGCTTTCCTAAACGATAAAGTCGTTTGAACAGCTCATCGCGCGCTCGTTTTCAGGCAACAGGCTCGCGAAATTTTTTCCCGTTCGTTTCGGGCGATCCCGCTGCTCACTCAGCTCGGCGGCTTCACTCGGCACAGAGCGGCAAGGCGGACGAAGCGGAAAACGCGGTGGCGAGAAGATTAGCGACGGCCGTTTTCGCGATGGCGTTCGCCATTAGGAAATAATCGAATCGAGTGACGAAAAAGAGAGGCGGCCGATGAGTCGCGGACGAGGTAGCCGTGGAGCTCCTGCGGGATCAAAGGAAAGCCGCCATCGGTCACACCTGCGCAACCCGACTTGTATAGGTACAGTCCCGCACGAAAATTACTCTTTCCGATGCGTGGCGGCCTTCGCGTCCTTGCTTCGTGCCACGTCCTCCTCAAGGATGTCTTCCGCCCCTCACCTCAAACGATTTTAAATGTCCGATCGCTACGCTCTCCGCGTCGGCTCTTTTTTATCCGTGTATTCAACGTTTATTGCTATATTGCTATATCTAATATTGTTTTGAACATTCGATTAAACGAATTTTCGTCGGATTGAAATAAATATTGAAATTAAATGTTGGCAACAACTCATTTTTATGAATCTATGTCAAACTTCTTCACTGATTGAACACGAATTAATCTTCGCATCAAATTATCGGGTTTCATGATTTATTAAGGCAATATAATATAATTAATAGGTTCGGTTTCTAATCTATTTAATTTCTTGCAAATTAATCAGTGAATAAATTGCGAGGGAGGTAATTCGATCCGAATATTTGATTCAGGAAACGCAGATACTTAATAGATGCTATAGATTCCACTTAAAGATCCCGGAATCGTTTCCAACTTCGTGAAGGAAGACTTCAATCCTCTTAAATGCGATTTAAATCGAGATAATCGATCAAAATAATGAGTATCTATTACACCTATTATCTGACGAGAACTATTTTTCTAACGGTGTTGCCTCAAATTAGAACGTAAATTTACATATTACAAGCGCGAGCTTGCACCTCGTTCAATTTTTCTCGGTTCGCACGTTTTCCTCGGTTGCGTGGACAAGTTCGACCACTTCTCTCAACCACGCCTGAAAACGACTTAATTATCAGTAGATAAAGACTAGCGCATTCAAACCTCGTAGGAAGTGTTATTACGTTGCCTCGAATCATATAGATTCACCGTTTTAATGCATCCACTGATCGAGCCCATTCCCTTTTTTGTCGTCTCTTTTTCTACGTCGCTCGCACCAATTCTCCCTTAGTCAATGTCGAGAATTGTCTAATTGTACGAGTATCTAACACACGACGCTACGCTGCACGGCGGTCCGCTACGAGTGTCAGCGTTAATTACGCTCGTACCAGCTCGTTTACCTCGAAAATTACATCGTCCCGCCGCTACTTTATAATCTGACAGCCGTTTAAGGACAGAGAGAGAAGTCTACCGCAAAAATGTTTCACGTCCATCGCGAAGATGAACGTTTCACCTCGGTTTACGAGTCGTTTCTCTTTGTCGTTGTCGCTCTTCTTATTCGAGCCGATCCTCTTTCCTATTTTACTCATGTGCCCGTCTCCACCCTTTTCGTTCGTCGTCCCGTCGAAACGCGGATGACTGTCTTTTCGAGAAAAGTGAACGACGATAATTTTGTCATCGTCTGCTCTACGCACCGTCAGACACGAATCCTCTTGAAACGGAATCCAGAAATACGATGGCGGACCGGTAGTCGAGGAGGGTGGAACAGAAGAAGCGAAAGAGAGAAAGGGAGAGATCTCGCCGAGATATTAGTTTCTGCGGTCGTCCTGCCGCAGAGATTTAATTCGTTTGATGTTCACGAATTCGCCGCTTCGGCCGTATCGTCTTACCTCTATCTCTTCGGCTTTCGTAATCCTCTCTTTCTTCTCCTCCCTTAATGCTACCCCGTCTTGCGGATTTTCTCACCTTTCTACGTAATTACGCTGTGCTTTACATTTCGTCGAGATCCTTTACTACCTTCACTCCATTGCAGCGTTGAAAATCTACATACTATGTGACTCGCGTTTAAATTTGTGACTCAAAATTACTTATTCCTTGCCAAAAAGCAACGACGAATACTACAGATTGGTGACTTAATAAGAAACAATTTTTTTTTGCAATAAAACTCCTGATAACATATATTTGAAAAATGCGAACATTAAAAACGTCTTGAAAATGTAGAATTTTAGAATTCTACGTTAGATGTGCTTTCTCTTCAAAATAAAAGTTAACCCTGTCCGTTCACGATACCGTCGATCACGAAAAAGCACGATACGGTTGGACCACCTGCCGCCACGTTCTAGCGTGGTACAGTTGGACCACAGGTGGCCAGAAACGGTCGTTCGATTAACACAGTGACTCTGCCGAAATCGCGCTTCATTACAAGACCTGCTATCCCTGTCCATTCTCCCTTCTGTTTCTTCAAAACGGACGAAACGATCGAAAGAGAGAGAGAGAGAGGAAGGAAGTGTTCCCTCCAGGAAGAGAAAGAACTGTTCTCGGCATTACCCGGTAGTTTCTTGAAAATGGACGCAACTGATCGATAAAAGAGAAGAAGCTTCCCGCGGCTGAAGAAAGAAAGATCAAAGGATTTTGCAGTTCTGGAAAAAAAAGGGGTAAAAATGACGCAACTATTCGAAATACGCGAGGAGAACCGCAGACGTTCGAAGTTGCGAAGCGGTCGTGCGTCATTAACTTCAAAGTTTCTCGTTGGTCGACCGTCGATTACAACCCGCGAATATATTAAAAGCACCGACGTCATTCGTCTCGCGTCCTGTCCGCCATTAATAAGCTATCAACGTAAATTTTATTTTAACGCGTTAATCCGTAGACGTATGTACGCCGGTCTTTTACCTGTACAAAGCGGAAGTCATCGCGCTCGGTAGCATCAAGTTTCCGCTCCTTATCAGACACGCGCTGCGTATTCGGAATATAAAAGCAGTCACACATTTAAAGCAGATTACCTATATTACATTTTCTTAATTAATACTTGATACTCCATTAGCAAACAATAACAAATGCAACACGTAGATACTTTTTTCATTTATTTTATAGTTGAGACATATGGAAGTTCGCATATTTATCAATTGATCAATTTCATTTTCTTTGACTCCAATAAAATTCTGATGCGAATCGCATTTAAGGAAAAATTGTATATAACCTTTCTTATGGAGGACAACGAGATCTACAATTTTCATATAAAATTTTTTCGCTAGCATTAATATTTAATGAGTTATTGACGAAAAACGAAAAAACAGTTTTTTGCAAATTACTCATTAACTCTTGACGCTAGCGAAAAAAATTCTCATGGAAATTGTAGATCTCGTCGTCCTCTACAAGAAAGGTCACATGCAATTTTTCCGTATGTCCAACGGTTTGGGAGTTATTGGCCAAAAACGAAAATTTGGTAGAAATTGAAGGGGTACCCCTTGGAAAAATCTCGGAAAAATCGAAAATTTTTTTTTGTTGTTTATTATTAGCAATGTTCTTCCGACGTCTGATTTCTTTTTAAAAAATGCGTTTCTAAAGTGCATAAACTTTTGGGATTGACTGTATAACAAGTACATCGTTAAAGACGTCATATGATGAATATAATAGGAGTGTCGTTTTTCAGTGAACAAACACTTACATAGTCAATGTCTGTTAGACAATTATTATCCAAGTAAAGAACTCGTGCATATATGCAAGACATTTGACCTTTCATTTTCATCGTTTCCCGTTTAGGCAGCGATTATTTATTACTTTTAATTAGAACCAAGTCGTGTGCTTAACCTTTCAAACGTCGCGTTCTAGCCAGGATCAATAGTCGGTGGTCGCTCTGTGTGTCAGAGGTCGATTCGCGTTCACGGCTGTCGTAAATTTCGCGACTTTTTTATGGGCCGCTGAACGAACCGCGGCTACGAAATGAAACGGTGACACGTGACCGACAACCGTTAGCTCGTATTTTTTTCCTTTTTTTTCACGCGAGCATTGCGTAAAAATGTAAATT